CCTTCTATATTTCGGAAAGTGATTTAGGAGCGGAATAAATAGAACATAAATATTTTTGTATTTTAAAAGCAGTCGTCGGTTGAATTTTGGTCAAAATTGCACATAAATTGAAATTAATGACACTGATATTTGTCCATGCAGGAAATAAAATGTACCATTAATTATCTGATTCGGATATTAAAGATGTTCGGTTATATTTAAAACGCGGATAGGATGACATACTCTAGTGAGTAGTGGCGACAGCATCAAATGCCAAATATATTTCGAAGAAATTTGAATTTTGACAGATGTTTATCTTTAAAGGACAATGGCAACGAAAATTTTTATTGGCTATTTCAATTCTACTTGACGACCTAACAATGAAAATATTATCATGTCCTTCTCGAACATTTTAGTCTACGAGTAAAATGCATGCAAACTTTGTGTTTCGCCGTCATCTTGGAAAATTTTTTTAAAAAATTATCTCGAAGGTCAATGAACTTTGTGACGTCATTAGATGGGTAGCACCAAAACTACAAGAGAGAATTCTATTGCGTGCGTGTTATGTTAGCTAAAAATATGTCGTTTTGAGCGTTATACTGGCCAACACTCTTCGCAATCAAACAAGAGAAGTCTACACTATCAGATAAAAACATATCGAACGACTGGGAAAGCAAGAAATCGCGCAATTTACAATGCAGGCAATTCATCATAAAATATTGCATTAGTATTTGCCTTGTTACACTCGAATTTCTGCGCTTATTTAACATGGAGTAGGATATATACTATGAGAAATAGTGTTATAAACAAGTTACATACTTGGTAAAACTTTTCTAGCTTTTGTTTTGGCTCAAAATGCACTACGCGTGGTAATACACTGTATTGTTTATAGTCATGAGATTGTGTTTACCCAGCCAATGACGTCAGATAATGTATTTTGTGGCATAAATTAGCATACGCGCTTATTTTCAAAATGGCGGACAACTGTTCAAATTTTCTCAAATTCAATCAAAATTTCTCAGCAACTAAACGCGACAAACCGGCCAAAATATGAAATTAAATATTCCGTAAGTACACCTAATAGATATAAGTAATAAAAATTTTGGTTGCCAATGTCCTTTAAGCAAAGACCGTACATGGCCTACCTGTCAGTATTTGCTCTTAGTTGATCTTTAATATCTTGTCTCTGTGCTTTATTCAACAGTTCATCCGCATCATATCCAGCGTCTAGTAGTATCTCTTTTAAAACCTATAAAATTCGTTGCAAACTTATTAAAACATGCAGTGAATCGACACTAATGGAATGGAATGGAAACTAGAGGGCATGCACTCATAAACTCCGCAAGTGAATTATGTCACATTGTCACGTATATCATGCATGTAGCCTATTAATACAAAGCAGGACAAACTTCTGCTAATTTGTCGTGTAATTGTCATCCAAATTAACCCAAAATGTAATCCATTTGTCCTTGGAGTATTTCTATCTGCCCAACAAATTTTTGTACAGTATTAATGCGTTGGATATCTTTTGAGTGATCGTGGTGAGTCTGCAGAAACCAAGGTGAAAACATAACCACCGGACGGAGGTAATAATTTCACAATAAACCGTTATCAAGTATGACTTTCGGGATAAAAAGTTTCATATATGTCTTCTCAAATTCATTAATAATTCATGAGTAATTCAGCCAATGATAATCACCTATTTGATCACAAGATGCCATTTGGATACTTGATGAAAGTCACTAGTGTTTTCATCAAATATCTTAATTACGCATGCAAAATTACTTGAATAGAATTCCTAATCACGTTATGCTTGGTTAAGAATTCTATTCAAATCAGCAAACGAAAACATTCTGTTACGTTTCGAATCATTTGAGAAGCCATATAAACAACTCGAGCTCGTGTCTCACCGGGATATCCAAACACTCGAAAACAATGTATGAAAACACTCGCGCTTCGCGCTCGTGTCTCCATACATCGTTTTCTCGTGTTTGGATATCCCGGTGAAACACTCGCTCTCGTTGTTCATATATTACATCTATCATTTCATATAGTTTCATATACCTCTTTATCCCCAACATCTTTATCATCAATCCAAGCTGCTTTGTCTGTTTAAAAAACAAAATGGCACACAAATATTTTAAGAGTTACGAAATTCGTACTGGAAGAGGGGCATGTATATATGCACAAAGAAGGACGTCAAAGATTGTCTTTTTTTCGTTAGATACACACTCAGGTACTGTATACTAAACCATGTCTTACTCATTATGGGGCAAAGGAAGCAAAATGAGCTGAAATGTAGAAAGAAACATAGAAAGAACTGAAACGTAGCCTGCGCCGCAGACAAGTTTAAGCAACAACGTAGAGTAGGAGGACATTTTGGCCTATATTAAAAGCGTGTAGTTCCTAAATGCATGCATGCAAGATAGAGAGATGGCTCCTTAAATATAATGTGCAGCAGTGTTTGAAAACAAGGGGCCTCAGCCATATTTTTCTGTTGAAGATTAATGTTCGTTACCTATATTTTTCATACAGTAGCTATATAAAGAGAAATTTCCAAACCAAAAATATATTGCATGATTTCAGAAATCAACTTACAGAGTATAGCTTGAAGTCTGTCGTCAGCTTTATCGTTGGCCAACAAAACACGCATTGGAAGAACTGTCCTTAAAGGAAAGTGTGATGGGAACCTGAAACCCTTAATGCCGTGATAGTCACACCAATCCTGAAGATTCCTTGACAGATACGCCAGTTTTGCTGGACTTAGAACTCTCATTGGTACCTGAAGCAATACACGAATTTACGAATAGTCTCTTTAACGCATATACAAAAATCAACCTCATACAAAAATTAAGCAAATTTTACAATAGAGAGGTTAAGATACTTTATTTACGGGTACAGAATAGAATAGAATGGAAGCTTTACAAACTACTTTTACAATTTATAGAGCTACTGCATCATTATGACTAAACTATTTACACATTTAAAGAATTATGTCTAGGATTATTAAATACGGGTATGGGTGCATGATATGCACGTACCCCTTGGTCCTTACCCGTAAACCGGGTACATCTTGCAACTTAAGAAATCCAAGATATTCCGGGGTACGAAAACCGATCGGAGAATGGTAACTTTCGTTGTTGAGGTTCACCATAGATTTGGGAAAAATTGACGAGCAAATATATGCATTGATTTATTTAGTAAACAGAAAACACCCGTACCCGTCTGTCGTTTACGTGTAGATCATGGTTCACCGCGGGGGAACGGGTTGAAATTACGGGTAAACATGTTAATATAGCATAAAATTGGTAAAGAAAACGGCGATACCCATACTCATAAAGTGGAACCGGGTATCTTAAACTCTCTAATTATAAAAGCCTCACTCATTTCAACTTACAACTGGTGTGCCAATTTGTTTAAAGAGAGAACCAACGACAATAGGAACTGACTCCACTTTAACGTTGACAGGTTTTAAACTGTGTACCAAATGCTCTATCTTGAAAAAGCAGAAACGAAGAAGATAAAACATATGTGGTCACACATGAATACACGGGTGTTCATGCAATCTTGGATAACAATCATACGGAATTTATGCGAGGGTTATTTTACGCGTATTCACAGAAATGTACGATTTATCAGATATTTGCCTTATAAGGTATGTGGTCGGATATACGCAACAATTTTTTAAAATATTTTTCTAAAACAGGTTCATAAACTAGACTTAATAGACCATGCACTTTTTTATTTCTTGTATAATGGTTGTATTTTGTTTCTTGTGTTAAAAGGGCAGGAGGCCCAACATAGATATTGTAGTGGCAGAAAAAATTCAAATTGTCTTTAAAATATTCAAATTTTATAAAAAATTACTATATTACCGTGAAAATTTTCTAACAATTGCCTTTGTAGTAATAAGAGATGAATAAAATCTTGCGAGACTCGCCCCCAAATTAATCAGCACAGACTAGTATTCTCATATATGACGTATAACCCTTTCCAATATTAAAGAGATATTCCATTAGATATAGACCATTTCTGTTGTGTTGATTTTTTTAATTCGTCGCTAAACATTACCTGTTACCACTCAAAAAATGCTTAGCTTATAGATGTGTAATACCCTGTAAATTAGTGCTTGAGAAACAAGATATTTTATTTTTGAAAAGAAAATTTCTGGGCGGAATCGTAAAAATTTACAGCTTCCATGGAATGCCCATTTTATGAAATAGTTACATATATCAGTTTTGGAACTAGAGAGGTTCAGGTTTTGACTTCCCTTACCGCTACCTTCACCAATCAGATGCGTTAAAGCTGGCCGATTAACCAATCAAATGTTAAGCGTTTTAAGCTAGTGAGAGGTTAGCGGTAATGGAAGTAAAATCGGAACCTTTTTCTACTGCCTTATATACCTGTGTAGATCCTATAAAGCTCCAAGGGCTTGCCAGATCATGGTAAATGGTGAGGGTGGCAGATTGAGGATATGTTGGCGGTCGTACCAATCTTAGTAGAGCAGCATCGACATTTCCCAGTTCTTTTTCCACGAGATGCATATTGTCAACACCCCAAAATAATTTACCATTCACGACAAAGCTAAGAAACAAAACAAACCCCACTACCGCCTGTATTCTAAAAGCTCACTCACGCTCACACTCAAAGAGCGGAGGTTCAATCTGAGCTTCCCCTGAGTGTCAATGTTGTTTTGGAATAGCTGGAGCGCTAGTAGTCACATAGTACGGTACAGTACGACACTAACCCTCCAACTATTCAAAAACAGCTTGACACTCAGAAGAAGCTCAGATTGAACCTCCACTCTTTGATCGTGAGCGTGAGTGAGCTTTTAGAATGCAGGTGTAAGTAGTACTCCACAAAACGTATGTCAAAATTTCTCATGTCAAAATTTCTTTTTCACATTAAACTTTTGAAAATTAATTCGACGATGATCTTTTAATATATCGCAGGCCGTTGCATAAATATTGTCATACCTGGGCACGCCAAAAGCACCATAGTCTAAAGCTTCTTTAGTGTTGTCCTTTAACAAGGTTTTGCCTTTTACTTGAATTACTTCCTCCACATTCACATTCCAACCAACAGTCTTGCTTATGTCTTGGAGAACATCACTACTTGTTAAATCTAGGGAATAGAATATTAAAAGATGCCGCGCAGTCGGTTCTGAACATTCTAGCACGTGATACTAAACAGTTCAACTAGCTAGGTTCTGTATTCCTGCAAAGGCTGATCGCGCGCTTTCATGATCATTTATTTCCTCTAAACAGGTAAATATATACAATTCAAAAATGTAAAAAAGGTGACATGTTTTAGTGGACTATATCGGATGCTTAGAAAGTTCTTCCTAACAATTGTAGATTTGCATGCATGGCGATTGGCGATGAATTGTACGGTATATAGTAATCTCCAACGGAATTGGTAATCTTCAACGAGATATTGGAAATATTGCAGCAATTTCTTGAATTTCCTTATCCTTTCACTTTAAATGTTATTTATATGAAACGGCTCTTAACCGAAATATTCAAATTGGTAACTTTATTTATATTTAATTATTTTTAGTTAAATAATTAATTCCCAGAATCCTTTTGTGAAAAGAAAAACTGTTGGAAATTAACAGAGTTAAAATGTTCCGTATTGCTTTAAACACGTGATGAGTCATTATGTAATTGGCTCTGAATCGTATAATAACTGAACTACTGTCACAGATACTGAACTCTGAAGTGAGGAAATTACAGTAAGCTATACAGTTGGAATTCTCCTGGAATGTAGAATCTCGAAAGCATAACGACCGCCATTACTTTCAATTTTATCCGCTGTTGGTGGTATTCGGGGAAGGGGCACTACTTTGGGATGGTTTAGAATATTTTTCTTTGCTTTTCCATTTATCATACTTAATTTATCTTTTGTTTAATTTTATTTTGCCCTTTCAATGTTCTTAAACAAGTTACCAAGAGTCGCTACTTATGGGAGTCGCTACTCATGGGTGCCAGATGTTGGGATCCGAGGTAACCGCATTATTTACAAGTGACTGGAGCTAAGTGCAACCGTGGGTCATGCAGAACGTCTTGTTCATGCTAACATTGTCGAAAATTTCAGTTTTTCCCATTGTCTTTTTGCAGTATTTACCGACCAGAAGTAACATTCTCGTTTCTACTGTATTGTACTGTTAGTGGTTTGACTATTTTCTTGTCAGTCTTGGCCATTTTTTTATCATATCTCGGGCCGTCAACCTCCGAGTTATGTTTCCTATGTTGCCAAAATTGATTTTCTCAGGCCCAATACACCCTTTCGATAATTACGTCACACACATGTTTTGGTCTTGGAGCCTCGCTCTCATTAGTAAATTACGCAAGGTGATTGGCTCACGATTCACGAGAGCGAGGCTCCCAGGCCAAATGACGTAATTATCGAAAGGGTGTATTGCTCAAACGTTTTCCCCTGGTGACGAGGTCGCAACATGCAAGCTACGCGGTCCCAAACTTTCTCCGATTGCTCGCTTTGCTTGCAGGGCAACTGCAAATTATTTTTGGTTACCTGCAAAAAGTAAATACAATATACGGGCACGCCGCTAGTTTAATTCCGACAGGCTGTCATTTTCGGAAATTGTCTAAACATCCCAAATTTGCCGCTACTCTCGGGGAGGGGGCGCTACTTTTGGGATTCTACAGCTCAAGCCTTGACAAAATAATTTTCTTCCTGGCAGCAGGCTTCCCAGACCAAAAATTTCCTGCCAATTTTTTTTATAAACTATGAATTTTGGTTGTAATTCAAATTAACAGACAGTCGTAGCACTGTTACATGATACAAATTTTTATGTTTATGTTACAAATTTTTATGTTGTATTTATGCTCTAATTGTGATGTTTGTTATTTTAATGCTGATTTTTGAAATTTCTCGAACTTCAATCTTAATATCTTGCTTTTCCTTAAAAATTTCCTGTGAGATTAAAAAAAATTTCCTGGCAGCATGCTGCCATGCTGGCGGACTTTCTCATGTCTTGCTATAGGGCTGTACCTTTATTTTCAATCCAGTAGGAAGAAAAAAGTGCGTGACTTAGTTCCCGTCGTATATTTGAGGTATTGCTATCAGGAGTGGCAGCCAGTAATCTCATGGCAGACAAGCTGTTCATGGGATGCGATGCTGGAAAATTAATTGTCACATTATATCGATGAAACGTTCTCGTGAAATCTGAAAAAAATAAATATTTGAAAGGAGAAATGATTAGAACATGGCCGGATTTTGAGGTGTGGGGAGGTGCGCACCTGCCATGAGATCGTTATGCGCCTCCCCTGAGATTTTTTGCACCTTCCCTGAAAAGTCATGCAACTCCCCATGGGAAAGGTTAAATGATAGATCAAAATGAAAATTAGACAATATTATATGTGTTGCTCAGGGTCCACACTTGGTAAAAAAAAAATTCTGTAGAATTCAAAAGCCATTCATTTCTGCATCAAGTACCCTTTTAGTAATGTAATGAAGGGCAAAATTGGATGAGTCGTGCAGTCATGGGGCTTCGGTGGCGCAGTCATCAGAGCAAGTGCCTCTCACCACTGAGTCGTGTGTTCGATTCTCGCTACGGGTGAAAACTAGTCAACACTCTGCCAAAAGTCGTGGGGTTTCTCCGGGCGCTCCGGTTTCAACAGGGAAAGTTGTGAAGGTGGGTTAGGATAAACACACTTAAGAAAGTAAGCACAATTGTTGTAAAGATAAATAGTCTAGGCTATAAGTAAATAACATAAGTAAGCATAATATACTTGATGTAATTGTTTTTGTTTGTGGAAACACCACGTAAATTTATTACTGCAAAGCTTTCGATCCGTAAGCCCGGATCTTCATCAGTGCTAATAATATGTGATAATAATAATAATAATAATAATAATACTCATCTAATTTTACGTGGTGTTTCCACAAACAAAAACAATTATATTTTATCGCCATGCAAACATTCAAAGAACTTATACTTGATGTAGTTGGTCACTGAAAAGCCCCCAATGGGGAGTGAGCTGAATAATAATGTAGCGTCATTGTCATAATTCATGAATACACGTCCAATAGCTCTGAAGGTCGTAAACAGTTTTTATACCGTTTTCACGGCTAAATCCAGTTTTTAACAGATCGTATCGCTAATCAAGTTTTCAGTTCATAAAATCATAATATTTGTGTTTAAATCAAAGTCAAAATACAAAATTTCGGCACATTCCTTGCCAAGGTGGTGGTGGAAATTGAAGGGTCAGCACTTGTTTCCCTCTACCAAACTGATACATGTGACGTCATTTTCGGAAGATGGAAGAGGTCTTAAATGGCTAAGTAACTAATCCAAACCCCTACTCTAACCCCTAACCCCAACCCTAGATCTAACCCTAACCAAAATAATAAAATAAATCCAAAAAGAATCAACTTTAGAAATTGATTAAATGACTAACATTGATCAGTTTGATGGTTGGAAAGGAGTGTTTCCAAATTGAAGAGTCATAGGACGTAAGTTCCAGTCCCAGTCTCTATTGTTTGTGTGCATGGTTAGAATGCAGCTGGCTTCACTTTTTGGACTTTCTCGCTCCAGATACCGTATATAGAGAGCTCACTGATGTCACTAATAAGGGGCAGGGGAGTTCCAATTTTCCAGGGAAGTCATGCTGCATCTCCCCTAATTATTTTCACCATTTCCACCAAAACTAAACTTTCAAAACATGTACAGGTGGAAACAGTCGAAACACTCACCTTCACTGATAATTTTTTTCTTGGCATCACAACTTGTCTGCATGGGAGATTGTGACTGATTTTCTTTGTATAAACCACCTAAACAAAAACACAACCAATCATATGTTTGTGATGTTACTTTGAGTGTACATCCACACCGGGCAAGCTGAAACGTTCGCCTGACCACGGTGGGAATCGAACCAGCAACTTTTGGGATACTAGTCCAATGCTCTGCCAACTGACCTATATAGATGAGGTCAAGTCGGTTCGAGTTGCTTTCAGCAATCACTAGCACCAACCATCCCCCTCACTCCCACCAATCCAGTTGGGGTTTATAAGGACCTTACTGTAAGGAGTTGGGGCGGGCCGGAGAGGATTGGACTAGTATCACATTCACAAAGGTTGCGGGTTCAATTCCCACCATGGTCAGGCAAACTTTCAGCTTGCCCGGTGTGGATGCACACTTAGAGTAACATCACAAACATCATATTCACCTGAGTACATACATAATACCAACACACACAAAAATGTCATATGTTTGTGATGTTGCTCTGAGTGTGTCCACATCGGCCAAGAACCAACAGCAAAGAGAAAGGGAAACATCGACAAATCAACATGCATACCAAGCTTAAATATAAAATTATTTAACAACCTTGGACCTATAAGCCTAAAAACACTAAATCATCAGCGACATGGCCAGGATTCCTAGTTAAGAGGCAGAAAGTATAAATTGCCTGACCATGGTGTGAGAAAGCTAATTAGATTCATCTTACATATCAAAATGGCCAAAACAAACTGACCCATTAGGCTGCAATGCACCCAAATGCATCGACCCGGCTACTTTATTATTTTACTCTGCCTAACACCAGAGAGTCTTGTACTTTAATTAATGTGTTAACCAAACAATCTGCCAGTGTGTCTTGTTAACCCATTAACCTGAACTGCACCCTACTTTATTATTGCTGCGGAGCGAGTGAGCCTGAAGCGAGCGAGCGTAGCAGCAGCCTAATATGTGCAGAGAGGGGGTTTTGAACTACAGTAAATTTTATTTAGCGCATGGAATTGTGGTCGTGCGCGCTTTCTATTTGCAGAACACAAATTTTAATTAAACTTGCTTGAGTCTTCGAATTTTTATCGAATTTCTAAAGCTTTTTCAAGTCTAATGTTACGCTTAAATTTGTTTTGGACTTTCGCCACTGTCAGTTCTATATTTTTATAAAGTTTTGGTTTCTTAGTGTGATAAATCTGTGTATATATATAGTCTATATAATATGGTAAATGTGTCTTTAGTCTAGCAGTAGACAGACGTGATATGAAATCCGATCTTAATTTACCTGTATGTCAATGAGACGCACATGTTTAATATCTGTCACCTCTGATTGCCCTTTAACCCCTGGTCTAAAGTTCCTACTTCAATATATATTGCTTCTTCTCAGTTCCATTCACAGCTCACTATAGTCGCTGCGAGTAATCACTGTGCTTGATATAATTTGTGCTGTTTACTGTAGTTCTATTTGCTTTTAATGCCCGCAGCAATCCCTACCTTGCAGGTACCCTAGTTTTACTCTTGCTAGTGCCAGATGATTTCACTCGACAAGGGGGTGAGTTGTGCACCTTAATAGGTTAAGCTATATATACATTAAATGGAAAGTTCTAATTGAAATATAGAAGCTACTCTGAGCTGTTAATGAGTTCACTTAAACATCACACTGATCACAGTATTTACGAAAAACTATAAATGGGGTGCTATATCCACCACCCCCCCCCCCCCCCCCCCCGGTCCCTGATTTTTCAAATCCACCAGCACACACGCAACATTTACATTTATACATTTGATCTGTGGTAATACGTATTGGCCAATTGATATTACCCAATATATGGCCACAAACCCCTGCTCTTGAAACTGATTCTACTAACTTTAATATTATCAGACCTACCAAGTCTCACGATTTAATCGTGAGACTCACGATTTTTGATGCTTTCTCACGATTAAGTCCCCAAATCCCACGATTTTCGGAATTTATGAAATCATCGAAGAACGCAACATCTAGTTACAATAAGGCACACTCTTCCAAGGAAACATTACTCTTTCTTAGTGTATTAATAATGCGCAATGTACAACGCCAGAATTTGTATGCGTGATGTTTGTGTTACAAAGTAAAAGGCGTGTCCTGGTAAGTTTATTTTCCTGCTAGTCTTAATATTACTCGTAATTTTCTTGTTTTTGTACAGTGGAAGCTACTATAAAGCCATAAAGAAAAAACAGCCTATTTTTAATAAGCCAGGCATTTATATACGGTTATATTAACAAAATATAAATGCATACTATCACAAAATTGTAAATCTAATGATTATTTACTAGTGTTGTTAAAGTTAACCCTGGTCACATTAATGAGCAAACCTGAAAATTTCTCTCACGATTTTTCAGTCTCACGATTTTTCAGTCAATCTCACGACTTTTTAGACGGCAACTCACTATTTCTGCTACTCAAGGGTTAGGTCTGTATTATATTAATTTAAATTGTAACTAGGGACCTTAAATAAAAGCCTTTTGGTTTCTAGAAGGTTCCTAGCCCTACTATTTGTAAATATTTTCTATCTTAATTGTTAATTTTGATGTGATTTGGGCGAATAATAATAAATAAATTTAACTATCAAACTACTCACCAAGCAGTACTGGCGCCCAACGTATACTTGCAGCATTTCGTTCGGCTAAGCGTTCAACTAAACGGCTGGCTACATAAGCGAATGGACACACAATGTCATAATAAAACGTGATCTCTTTCATCTTCGTTTAATTATAATATAATGTGCAGTATTTTAAACTGTAAAGTATAAAAGGAAGTGTTAAAAAATATAAACATTGCGCAATATATTAATATTCGTTTTTCCGTCCGCCAGCGCTTCAGCCTCCAGCGGTATATTCATTTTTTGTGGTTGAGACTTAGTCTAGCCCTCATTATAGTATATCAAAATACAATGAGATTAGACCTTATTTAGCCTCCTGCGCAGACATTGTTAGTGGCCCGAGGCCTCACCTAACGTCTGCTCACATTCGCTATACATTTGACTTCCCGGCAATTAACCAATCACAATCATCTACACGATAATTGGAAGATCGGCCTTCAATGACCTTCACACGCATGGGCTATATCAACAAGTTTGTAGTATTTTTAAATTTGAAAGTTTTAACACTGCGCATTAGAAAAAGGCTTTTCAGTCTATTATAAACGAAAAGGATGTCGTAAATCTTACAACTGACGCAGGAAATCCCTTATTTATCACGCCGTTACCGAAGCTATTCGATGTAATATTCGGATTTAAATATTTAAACAAATTGTAAACATTGTAAACATTTAGTAATCGTGGTTTCGGTTGATAAATTCAATACGAGATCAAGTCAAAAAACTACACGATCTAGGAGTCAGTGCTGTGTCATTATTAAGTTGAATCGAGAGCGATAAAGAAGCGAAGGCATTGGAAGAATCATAGTTATATATGCAGAGTCATTGTTGAAGACCGAACGATGGAAACGAATGCTTCAACAAATTGTACGTATAGCAAAATGGTTTGTGCTTTGGCTGTTGATGCATGAAGCTCGTGCGATTAAAGAATGGTATGTATTATAATAAATCCTAAAAATGTGTTCGCTTTTGTAATTCCCAAAGACACAGGAATCGATCGGGCTTGGCCATTTTAATAGTCATTATTCATTAATATTTTATATTGTTTATTTAAATTGAATTTGTCTTTTTATACATTGCCTCGTATTATCTATTTGCATGTAGTACTAGCATGCAAGTTTATATGAGGGCAATTATGAAGGGTTTACATCAGAGGGTTGGGGCATGTATATTAACTAGAATGGCTCATAAACTTGCTGGTGCTACGTGCAATAGATAATACGAGACAACGTATAAATCAAGACAATATAAATAACGACTATTAAAATGGTCAAAGCCGATCGATTGCTGTGGCTTTGAGAATTGCAAATGCAAACACATGTTTAGGATTTATTGTAATACATACTGAAATGAGCTTCATGCATCAATAGCCAAAGGCAAAGCACAAACCGTTCTGCCATACACTTTGTCTTTGTCTTCAGCAATGACTCTGCTGTGCCATATAATACAGTCAGAATATTTCCCATCTTCCAATGTCTTCGCTTCTTTATCGCTCTCGATTAAACTTAATAATGACACAGCACCGTCTCCTAGATCGTGTAATTTTTTTACTTGATCACGATCGTATTGAATTTATCAATGACGAAATCACGATTACTAAATGTTTACAATGTT